TGCAGATTAACATGCAGATATGAGGCCTTTTTTTCGCCAATGCCCTCCATACTTTACAGCCTGGAAACTTTGAAATACAGGAAGTTTCCAGCACATGCGGATATTTTGCAGAGGCAGAAAATGTTTACGGCAGAAAAAGTCAGTTTGAGAAAATACACGCCCTAGCATTGACTTTGCGTCTCGTAAACCTGCGCGTGACATTCCCAAATGAGTGAAAAGTTATATAAAAACGCAAAGCTATTTTTTTTCTCGCCACATACAAGCTTCGCCTATAGTGCGGCAGCCTTTTCTACCATAGAGTAACTTTACATGGTTCCTACAGGACCAGAGAAGCGAAACTGTTTTCCAACGCCGCCGCCACCGCAAGAAACCATGCATTGCAGAGAAGATGACGCTCAGGCAAATTTTGTGTTTTTTCACGTCGCCGCTGCATTGGAGCAAATTATTGCCAGTCAAATTCAAAGCTAATCCAGCTGTTCTTCGCGAATTTTCTTAACACTGTTCATATATGCGTGCGGGTGCCTGTGGATCATCTTTATGTGTGCACCAGGTCTGCAGTTCTACCATCACAGCCATCGGAATACTACAATGACTGGTAAACTGGTAAAAAGCGTTTACCAGTTTTACCAGCTGCTGAGTGGTCCTTCGGTTGTAGTATACAGCTCGGCCCACTTTCAGGGGGAACACGCGAGTGCGTGGCCAGCGCTTCGCGCAACGCCATGCATGTCAAGCGGCGAAAAGCAGCCCCATGCGCAGAAGTGCGAAGGGGTGGTGCATGGCCACCGTCGTCTGCTTCCGTACCACCCCTTCGCTTTGCCTGCGCGTGGCGTTTGCACGCAACAAGAATCTGTATATATAGAAGAAGCAATCCAAGATAATGGTCCTTTCTTCTAAAATGCCAGAAGGGAAGGGAATGTTCGTGAACAGGCTTTAGCTGCCGGAAATTAGAAGAATACAGAATGGCTAGGGTTCCCGACCACAAAGGAGGCAAATCACCGAAGTATCTCTGCAAGGCTACACCCAGCGTGCAGTTTCATCTATGACTAATCTACCGCTGAAGACTGTCAACAAGATCGTACAGGCGTTCAGAGATGAGCACCGAATCAAGGATGCTCCTCGTAAGCCTAGCTTGCGTGTAACGAGTGAGCAGAAAGATTGTGAAATAGTTGTGTTTGTCGCTTTCAAGCCAACTGATTCATTTCAAGAAATTCATGCTAATCTTGGGATCGAAGTATCGAAGATGTCGACATAGTATTGAAGTATCGAAGTATCGACATAGTCACTTTAAATTCCTAGAGTAATACAATCCTACCTTTCAATGCAAATCGCTGTAGCCAAATTGTTTCTGTCGTTTCAATGAGCTGATGGAACAGCAGCTGAACTCGTTTCTTCTACCTTCCAGCTACAAACCAGATTATGTGCAGCGAGTGACTGCGAGCGGAAGAAGTGTTGTGGCGTGGGGATGCATCGCAAGCCAAGGTCTCGTACCCCTTTTCGGAATCCAAGGGAAGTTTACGGCAGACAAGTACTGTGACCTGTTGGAAAATGTGGCACTCCTACACCTCACCAGTGACATCTTTCATGATGATGATTTCATATTTCAATGGGACAAGCCACCCATTCATACATCGAAGAAAGCAAGGAAGCTGCTGGAAAACAAAGGTGTTACTGTCCTGGAGTGGCCACTGCAGTCGCCTGAAATAAACATATTAAAAAATGTGTGGGGCATAATCAAAGCAGCCTTAGCACGCCGAGGAATCGATGGGGCGTCAGCTGAAACACTGTGGAAAACGGTTCAAGATGAGTGGAATCGTTTGAGAATGGACAGGACGCTCACGGCTGAGCTTTATCAATCCCTGCCCCGGAGAATGAGGGATGTGCTAAACGCGACTGGAGACTTTACGTGCTACTAGGCATACAGCGCAAATAATTTTTGTGCTCATCATTTTTTACTCTGATTTCCTGATCCTGAAAAGCTGGAATAAATATTCTAGTTTTTGTTTTCCATGATCGGTGGGAGATATTATGTGTCACATAAAACTTTCGCATCTCTTCGCATGTGAATGAATGGCACTGTCATAGCAACGCCGGTGCGCACAAGCAAAGCGAACGGGTGGTTCGCAAGCAGACGACGGTCGCCATGCACCGTTCCTTCGATGTTCTGCGCATGCGGTTGCTTTTCGCCGCTTGACATCCCTGGCGCTGTGCGGAGCATGAGTCACGCGCTCGCGTGTTTCCCCTAGCAGTGGGCCGAGCAGTACACGCTAAAAAATAAGTGCACTGTTCTTTGTTGCGCATAATTATCTCTTTAAACGGAGCCTGATTACTTATCTTAATGCAAAGGAAATATATTTTTTGGCCAGTGACTTGGCTAAAAAGGTGCGGTTTTCTAATTCGCTGAATTTTACAGCGAAAGCTCTTATCAGACCACAAGGGCCGATTCTGGCGCTGTATAGATGTTCGCCACCAGCGGTGTTCGTGGCCACTATCACACAAAATTAAAAAAAAGAAGAACCTACTTAAAAAGAAACATGTGTGCCGCACTCGAGAGTCGAATCACCCGAGCCTATTGCGTGGCTATCGAGTACTGTACCAAAAAGCTACGCGATAATGGGAAAACAGATCTTTAAACTGGCTTTGTGCAGGCTGCATAACGGGTATAAATTTGCGTTCACATGCGTAATGAATCGCTTTAGAACAGTGAAGTGACATCCTTGCATCACATAACACGAATTTTGCGAAGAGTGCGCTGTTATGCTCCTACGCACTTCGAAAGCCTCAGGCATAACTGTTCGTTGAGTTATTTACCGAGACTTATCGGTAATTTAATGTACCATCAAAGTCAATGAATTTCGCATTTCATGAGCGTAACGTGAATACTTAATGTTCCTGCTCGTTATCCGGTCGAAAATTCCGAAAATGCGCGAAATCTGAATGCCGCAGGACAAAAGTTGCTGGACCCACTGTGGTGTTTTATTGGCTAAGTTACTCGGCTGGTGAACCACAGGTTGCGGCATCGCATCCCGCCTGCGGCAGCTGCAATTCCGATGGAGGCAAGTATAGTATAGACACGCGTGCGCAGATTTGGGTGAATGGTAAACAACCCAGAGTGGTCGAATTTTCTGGAGCCCTCCACTACGGCTTCTCTCATAATCCTATGGTCGTTTTGCGAAGTTAAACCCCACAAATCCACCAACCGATCAATCAAAAAGAAGTTGATAATCTTGACTTTGCACTTTTCGCCACATGCTGAGAAAGAAAGTTGCTTTTTTTTTTACAGTGAAAGCTGTTCTGACATCACACCTCAAGTCTTGCGCAGCGCCCTATTTCTCCGCTGCCTCCTCCACTGTTGTCTGTAATCACAACACGGGAAGTCAGAAAAAAATACCTTCAACCAATGACAAAGTTAGGCTCGCACCCGGGTCCACTGGGTACCATCCCAGTACTCTACCACTGAGCCACGCCGGTGCTTGGGTCTTGTTATCAAACTTGCCTTCGACATCCTTGATGTCGGGAAAGCAGTCGGGCATAGTGAAATAAGCGAGTACTATTTTATTCAATCGGTCACGATCGAAACTCGACGCAAGCGGCTATGACAGTATTCTTATAATAATCTACATGTTTTTCGCTATGACCATCGCACACGGGGATGCTGTCGTAAACATAGCGTATGGTACGGCTACAGTTGTGGCTTTAGTCGTAGAACGTGATTAAAAATGACTGAAAATATGTCCAAGGGGGTGAAAAAAATGCTCAATTGTTTGATGTACACTCCAGAAACACGATGTTTCGCAAAAATGACTAAATGCTTAGCAAGTGGAAATGCCGTTCATATATTCTTTTGGGCTAATCTTCTTTTTCTAGTGTAAAACAAAACGTGTCAGATAGGCATTGACCTCACGAAGCATGAATGAAACACATTAAACACGTTACCAGCAGTACAGCTGGTTTTCATAAAAGCGCAGACCCTCAAGTTTACACTTTTGAACAAGAAAGTGCAGCCCCGCCGCGGTGGTCTAGTGGCTAAGGTACTCGGCTGCTGACCCGCAGGTCGCGGGATCGAATCCCGGCTGCGGCGGCTACATTTCCGATGGAGGCGGAAATGTAGGCCAGTGTGCTCAGATTTGGGTGCAGGTTAAAGAACCCCAGGTGATCGAAATTTCCGGAGTCCTCCACTACGGCGTCTCTCCTAATCATTTGGTGGTTTTGGGACGTTAAACCCCACATATCAATCAATCAATCGAACAAGAAAATGCAGAGAGATCACAAACATTGCTTATGACAAAAGGGTTGTACTCTAGAACACTGTCTTTTAGTGAGGAATAGGTACCATCTCGGGCTCGCGATGTGCAGTGCGTCTATATAGAGGTCGAAATTCCGAGTTCCACTTCGCAATTTTTTTACCTTTTCATTTAAATTTTTTTTCACAGTGTTTGTATCTACCAATCCTGACAATCTGCGCGCGCGAAAATTTGTGAAAAACAAATAAAAACCCCAATTTCGGCTCAATTAGTGCTAGTTATTTTGTGAGGTGTACTGCTACTCTCTTCAGTAGGGTCATGTTACTCTGCTTCGAGGAGCATTATGTTACTCTGTTTAGGGGGAGTGCTTTCGCCCGTTCTGGGGGAATCACTGCACTCTGCCTCAACAAGAGGTGATATACTCTGGATAAGACAGTGAAATATGGACAAGAAAGTACTCTCGCAAAGAAAGTGCCCGACGCTCTCTTGGTTTTTAAAATGCGACTTATAAAGCGTTTTCAAATAGCGAAATAACAAGCAGTCGTCACATAATGCGAATATCAAACGAGTGGGTCACGGAACGCTCTAACCCATTACAATAGTATTTTTTGTTCAGCTATTAACGGGGTCATGAAACGCTCACTCCTAAAAGACTATGCGAAACCACCGGTGTCCACACGCACTAACTAGATGACGTCGGCGTTGGTAATGCTTTGCCTATTAAGGAAGGCCTAGTGTGCGAAAAAGTGCCAATCTTACTTTCCTGGATAGTCGTCGTATGTAGCGGATTGTTGGTAGGCCATCGACGGAGCAGAACGGCGGGTGCGTTGACGACGCTTGCACTCGGCGTCCTTGGCTCACGTTTCGTCGGTGCTAGGCACGCGCCGTCTGCATTCTCTAGCGCGATCGGACACTTGCACGAATGAATGAATGGACGGATGCTCAACCCCACTCACCATCAAGACTTCCGTATATATGCTGTTGTTTTTTTTCTTTTCTTACATGCTTTTATTCCTCCGTGTGCGCAAGAGTGCGATGGTTTTTTTCCTTCTCGCAATGGCCACCGCTGCTCGGGGGTAGATGGGTCGAAAGGCTCTTTATCTCGTTTGGTAGTGGCCTCTTGAGAAATTTCGCGTTATTTATCCCTGTTACTTTTTTTCTCTTGGTTTTCTCAACACTTTGTTTAATTTCGTGCGTTAAGGCACACCGCACCTGCCTGATTCCTTATCTTAAAGGGTATAGTGAGTGTGCATGAGGGGCCGATCAACCGCATCGAGGGCTTGCAGGCTCTTGCTTTAGCGTTGTATTGATTCCATGGTAAAACTACATAAGCGAAGTAATAATGTGGTCGAAGTACTGTGTGAACCCGAGCCTATTGGTTTGAAGTGTATTCTGCAGCATTCCGTACAACGTATAGCAGTCGACGAGACGAATAAATAAATAATTGATTAGTGCGTTCATGAATTTAATGAGCATTCTTTGAAACTTGCACTTTAGTGTGAGAACACACTTAATTCCCCTGCACAGTCCAATGCATGTCCGCCCTAACTGAAGGCAGTGCAAACAGCCTCGGAAACAAGTAAAAAGAAAACATTCGAGAGGAGATAAAATGGAATTTTTTGTTGGTCTCCTTCTTGAAGAATGAGGTTTCACAGTGACGTTACCTTCTTTGTCCTAACGTTTATCCGCGCTATTTTCTAAGGAAGTAAAATTGAGAACTACTGCAGCCTCAAATGCGGCGACGGCGTCGACTCCTATTTCACTCTGAACATGGTCGACTAGGTGGAAAAGAGAAAAATAAAACGAGGAAATGCAGTCGGAAGGATTCGAACCTGCACGGGAAGAAGCCAATGGTTTTCAGAACTATTGACCTAATCACTCGGCCACGACTGTTTTTTTATTACATTTTATTCATAAACCCAGAGCAAACACAAAATGGTAAAATACACGAGCTAGTCTTATACACGGTGTAGGTTTAAAAAGGCTTAAGATAAGCCCATTCCTCCAACGTGCTGATCCAATCAGAAATATTCTCTGCATGTTCAACACATCTTTCATATACATAACAGTTTCTATGAAGTACTGTCGCGCAAAACGCGCATTAACATCATGTCGTACAGCCATGTGAGCCTTCCACAGTGCAAGCATACATAACGGCATGATCATATCACTAGGAAGGCTCTATGTATTATCACAGAGTATAAATTGTATGCCAAAAGGTGTTAAGGGAAAGTATTCTTTCATTGTCCGTTGAAGGATGTACCACAAAAATGTTACACCAAGACAGTCGAGAAAGCAATAGTCTATAACTTCAGCTTTCCTGCATTATATGCAGTTAGTTGACATAGGGAACAAAATTGCCTTTACTTTGAAACCACGGTTCCACAGGGAGCCTTTCTGTGTGCAATTGGAAAGAGAACGTTCTTGCCGAACTTCGCACAGGCTTTGCTCTAACCCTTTTCAGAACATTGCGTTCTGAGCCTAATAGGTATTTTGATCTATATACGCGCGTAGGTGGAAATACATGAAAGAGGTCCTTATTCAGCTTTACTTTAGGAATAATGCACGCCAATCAACGGAAAAATGTGCTTTAAGTGATCTGTAGGAAGCCACTGGTAGTGGGTCAGGTTTCATAACACTTGTTAACACAACCTAGTCTAGGATGCGGTTGAGCTGGTAACTTTGAAACATTTGTTCTTAAAGAAGCGTTGTCTTGGTCGCGGAGAAACATAAACCTTGAAACCACTTCTTTCAGGCAAAGATGACATATGCCAGGTCCCCCGTGCTTCACTCTCTGAAACAAATTGCTACGACTCGTGCGCTCCCAACTCGAGCCCCGACTATAAACAGCAAACACTTTGCGTAGTTTCTGCACCGACATTGTTGTCATACATAATACTTGCAGGACGTAAAATATTTCAGTGACTAGAAAAGTATTCCACATGTTTGCTCTTGCAAATATTCAGAACGTATGACCGCCCCATTTCTGAGTTTTCTTTTTTACCCTTTTAGATTTTTCGATCTAACACTTTGTAGTTAACTTGTGATGTTGCAAAGGAACACCAATATGTGCGTTTGGTGAATAGGGTCATTGCATGTTACAATACAGTTGTGGCTTTGTTGGTCAGTCTCCATACCAGATGCCAAGGCTTTTTGCCCAATTAACCGCACTACCCGTAGATTAACAAAATGCTATAGTTTCTTCCACCGTTTTTGTACACTTTTTTGTCTGTACATAGCAAAGCTATGTCGTCTGCATATCCCAAAACTTTGATTTCATTATCACAGAATCAAATTCTTGGATGTTGATACACGAGAGGATTTTTCGACAAAAATGTTCTAGATATAGTTCGATTTGTAAAAATGATGTCGGACAGCCTTAGCGGGAGTCTCAGGTAACTGGTATGCTCTCACTAAGTTGTCTGTAATTCATCAGTCTGGCTGTACACTGTGCATAAGTCATTTTAACACCCCCTGAGTAATGCAACCAACATTAACGTGCTTGAGTATCAGTACCAAAACTTCGTGGGTTAACCTATCGATTGTTTTTTGGCAAGATAGGCTAGCTTTTCGGCTAGTTCGGCTAGCTGCAGTATGGCGATTCTACCCCTTTGAGCGTCGCATGACTCCAATATATTTTTTACCACATGTGTGTCAGGGAAAATAGTTCTTCCCATAATCCCGCATTTCTGCTTTGTACCTACACTCTAAGGCAAAAGGGTGTTAAAAGGGCATGAGGTTAGTCCTTTTGATGACTAATGGGAATGCCACAACCATTAATTTCTTTAAGGGTTAAGGGCATGGGTCTAACAGTTAGCTCCCACAGACGAGCTCAAGGAACTAACATGTAGTTCTCATATTTGCACCTTAGTGAGTAATTGTTAGTACCACAATCCACCTCAAATGACTAAAAGTTAGTCCTTATACTTGCACCTTACAGGGCAACTGTTAATCCCCACGTTTACACCTTACTGGGCAACCGTTAGTGCTTACAGTTGCACCTCGCCGGACGAACGTTTGATCCACTGAAATACTCTATTCGGATGAACTTTTCATCCCCAGTTCAAACATTGTTTTTTATTCATTTTCGGCCAGGCCTAATACACTTTTTGCCCGTTTTTCTGCGCAGAGAAAAACAAATAGCGCAGAAAAGAACACGCGAAAAAGTAGTTAGCCACTCATAGTTAACTGCTTTCGCAGTCACGGCAAAAAAAGAAAGACAAAAGTGAGACATAAAAATCTTTTATTTTTCTACATGCACATGACGTTTCTTCATTCTTTTAAAAAAGTGAATTCATGGTGAACTGTACAAGTCCAGTCTCGTTGTCAAATCTTGTTCACTTCTTGAGGAGCTCCTCCGATGAAAGCGATAGATAACAGGCATTGCAGACGCCAACGCATGCTCCCTTCTGCCTGTTGTGTTCCCACGGCTGCACGTACATTACTATTGTAAAAATAGTTAGACACAAGTGACAGAAGATGAAGATGCACGCATATGAAATGTACGTGCGCGTTAATATGCCCGCCGTGGTGGTCTAGTGGCTAAGGTACTCGGCTACTGACCCGCAGGTCGCGGGTGCGAATCCCGGCGGCGGCGGCTGCATTTCCGATAGAGGCGCAAATGTTGTAGGCCCGTGTGCTCAGATTCGGGTGCACGTTAAAGAACCCAAGGTGGTCGAAACTTCCGTAGCCCTCCCCTACGACGTCTCCTATAATCAAATGGTGGTTTTGGGACGTTGAACCCCACATATCAATCAATATCGTGCACGTTAATATAAAAACATGCGTGTAAAGTATGACCCACAAATAACTTTACCTTCACATCTCGCACAGTCTTTCTGAAGCTTCTCTGACGAAAGAGATAGATGACACGCATCGCAGACGCCAGCGCGCACAGTCTTCAGCACGGTGTGTGCCCACGGCTGCACAATAGGTATGTAAAATAGTGAGTGACACGGGACAGAGGATGAATACAAATGCATATGAGAAATACGTGCTAGCTGAAATAAAAACATACGTGATATATGACATGCTAATAATTGCACCGTGAAGTCACACATCGTCAGACTCATCACGATCCCTGTAGCGCAACAGCTTAGGAGCGGCGGCCACCGCCGAAACTCCGCGAACCACCATGCCGCCAACAAGTCGGCGTGTTCTAAGCGAGCGACGTCGTTCAGCTCGAGCAAGCCAGCTCGAGACGAAACATGGCGCTGCACGCGAAGTGTCTGCTGCCAGTGAAATTCGAACAGGAGAGCGACCATATGCTTAGCCGCCACCACGAACAGCGCCGAGCTGGTTTGGAGCTAGCGCTGAAGAAATTGACGGTAATGCGACCCTTTTCTACGAACTAGCATTTTCGCCTCCATCGAATATGCATCCACTGCTGCCGCATTTGTGCTGATGTAGTCCAAATAGATATATTTAATGATTGCCAAAGCTTCTAACCTTGCAAACCATTCTGGCACATTCTCCTCTATTTTCTTACACTCAGTGGATGTTGACATGCTTTGCCAGCAATAAATTACTGTTGGTTTTGCATCAGGGTCAAAGTGATATCCGGCTAATCGTGCACGTCATATACATGGAGACTGGTCAACAACATTAGATCCCATGGGACCCCATCATCATTCCTTACTGCGAGATACCTTATCCCATGTGAATTCAGTGGAAAACCTTTCTTTATTGTCTTCTGCAAAATGTCCCAAAAATATACCCCTTCCCAACAATGCAAAAATGTGGTCTATTGTTTCTGGTTTCTAACATAATAAGCCGTGTGGCCCCCATTGTGTAAAAAAGCCCCGTTTCTCTGTGAATGCCTTTAACGATAGTGTTTCTGTGAGTAACACAAAGCGAAATGTTTTAGCCTGTGCAGATACCTGCACGTTTTTAAACCGCTCCAGAACAT